TGTTTCTAAAACTAGAGAAACTAAAAAAAGAATCCAGCTTACAAAAGGATTAGATACGGAAATACCAGAATCCCACTTTCCCAAGGACCCTGAAAGGTACGTCTTCAACTTTTCCAGTGTGACTTTAGATAAGACTGCTATGGAAGTGTTGTCACTAGGCCCTAAATTTTGTGATAAAAGAGTTAATATTGACCAATTACATACAGAAGTACAGTTTGAAAACCTCTTCATTCAGACACTTGACCTAACGCCGTCCTCCCAACATGAGTTAGACAGATTTAAAAGTACCTTGGTTGATTGTTGTTACCAATACAATAATGCCAAGATTGACAAGAAAAGTATATTAACTAAAAAGCATAGAGAATGCCTCAGAAAACTAATGTCGGATGACAGCATTATTATCACAAAACCAGACAAGGGATCAGGTACAGTAATTTTAAACAAACGCGACTATATTGATAAGATGAACACCATACTGGAAGACCGTTCCAAGTTTCAAAAGTTAGGTAATAGTAAAGATTCGAATGAAGCAACAGAACGTCAGTTTGTTAAAACTTTGAAGTCTCTAAAAAATGAAAATCTAATTGATAGTTCCATCTTTGACGCTATTAAGCCCACCGGAACTCATACACCTAGACTTTATGGCTTACCCAAGATACATAAGCAGGGAATCCCCCTACGACCAATCCTAGACATGTCGAACTCACCCTTCCATTTAACTGCCAAATGGTTGGTAAAACTGTTAGAACCGTTACACCGCCAGTTGGTCAAATATAGTGTAAAAGATGTCTTTAACTTTGTTGAAAATATTAAAGATATGAAAATAACAGAAAAAACCATGTTATCGCTGGACGTAACATCACTATTTACCAACGTCCCCCTTGTAGAAACTGTCGACTACATATGTGAACAACTCGTAGAAAAGAATATAGAAATTGGAATCACACCAAGAAAATTGAAAGAGTTATTACTAAAATGCACTATGAATGTCCAATTTGTATTTAATAAAGAGTACTACCGCCAAATAGATGGGGTTGCTATGGGCTCTCCCCTTGGTTCCTTATTAGCCGACATATTTCTATCCAAATTGGAAAATGGTCCTTTAAAAGAGATACTAAACCAACTCGATTATTATTGTCGATATGTTGACGACACCTTTATCATTTGTAACAATAATTTGGATAGACAACATCTGCTGCAAGTCTTCAATAAGGTACACCCAGCTATTAAATTCACTTGTGAAGAGGAACTACAAGGTAGTATTCCATTTCTCGATGTTCTTCTCACAAAAAGATCAGACGGTACCTTGAAAAGAAACATCTATAGGAAAGCGACGTGGAACGGACAATACACCCACTTCCATAGCTTCATACCTATACAATATAAGCGCAACCTAATTCGCTGTCTTAGTCATAGAATTAGACGCATATGTACCGAGGATTGTATTGAAGATGAAATAAAAAATCTTACAAACGCCTTGCTACAAAATGACTACCCTACCAACTTTGTAAAGAAGTATATCTACGAAACTACACATAATACCAAGCGAGACACAGTAAGTAAGAAAAAGCTTTACTTAAATGTACAATTCAAAGGTGATATAGCCAGTGATATATTAAACCGTAGATTAACAAGATCAATTGAAAGAACTTTTAGTGCCGCAAAACTGTATGTCAGTTTCTCAACCAAACCGATATTGACACCGTGCATTAAAGATAGATTGCCCAAAATGGCGACATCAATGTGTGTATATAAATTTAACTGCTCCTGTGGAGCTAGTTATATAGGTCGTACCCAGAGGAATTTATCTCTACGCACTCGTGAACATATTCCTGTTTGGCTTGGGAAAAGAACAACCAAATCAATTAATAGTGCAATTCTGTCTCATCTAGTGGATAGCGAACACAGCATCAAAGTAGATGAGTCATTTACAGTTGCGTATCGGGTACCGAACAATCTCCCCAAAGGCACACGATTACGCCTCCTAGCCATAGCTGAGGCTTTAGAGATTAATAGAGAAAGACCAGATCTATGTGTACAGAAAAAACTTATTCACTCTCTTTGTCTACCCTGGCCCACTATAAGGTCACCAGGATCATAATCTTTTCGTACTATTATTATCATTATTATTATTTTGTGATATCATGTCTTTATTATCCATTTCTCCACCCAGTTTATTTCACCTCATTGTTACCCTTACTTTGTCAACCTTTATGATTTTATACTAAACCTACCAATTCTGTAGCATTTTATTACAATTTACAATTTAGCCCCTTTATTTTATCATTAGACATTATCGGTCAGCCCTCATATCCAGTGCCTCATTTTTTAACGTGTCTTTACATGTATTTTGTGGTTATCGCATTTTCTCACCCCAAGGACACTTGTATTCTGTTAACTATAAAACTACACTATATCACCTAATTGTTCATTCACACTTCATCACATTTTTCTGACTAAACACCCTATACACATTTAATTGACTATGCTAACTAATGGACTATCACCTCAACTTACACATGCACCCCAATACAGTTTCTGATATTATTTTCATTTGCCTTTACTGGCTATATGTACTCTATTATTCATGGATTTATAACTGTAGAGCCTGAAGAAGAAGTTATCGAAAACAATTGTTCGCTCAAAATCTTGTTTTTATTTTGATTTGTAAGGTTTAGTTTTGTACTTTCGAGTTGATCATGGATCGAAATCAGTAAGGTAACCATCGTAAACCAGGGAGTACTGAACAGCCGTTTCATCTTAGTTTGGGAATCATCGGTAGTACGCATCCACTTGTGTTCGAAACCAGGTCTTTCCAGTTACTAGATGAGCTCGTATACAGTACCGCCACTTAGATCGGATTCCATAGCTGACGTATCCTAACTTCTGGCAATTCGTGATGAAGTGCTACCGAAACACATACATGAATGGAAACAATATTCATATCACCTCCATATTGCTGAATACTAACTCAAAGCATGTTACATACACACGGCTGTCTGCAGTCCTGGTGTCATCTTTTCCACTGGATAAATCAACAAGCTACAGTTATAAGTTGTGTAATGACTGTGCGCGTGAGCAGTGTTTGAGGCAGGAATTAGGCTTGATGTTAACAATTGTTTGTCGTGATTAGGCACATATCATTTCACAGAAAAATCGAACTACTCAAAACTCACATTCACTGTTTCACCAAACCTCGTCTTCGCACTGATGTCACAATTGGCAGAATAATGTTTGTGAGCAAACCACAGTTGCAGTATGCTTGGAAATAGTTAATGGTTAGCGTAGGCATGAACTATGAAATGTGTGAGTGTAGATCTGAAACACATGAACATATGCCACCTCAGCAAATATTCTCATATGTGCTTAGTTTGTAATGAATGGATTTGGAGTAAAATTTACACTGCTACGAAACTCAACGCGATACAATTTAACTTGAATAAGAGAATGCAATTTTAAGCAAATGACAAAACGCGGAGCATTCACACTGATTATTCAATCACAATCATAGGGATAGTTGATATGACGGAATTCAGTGGGATGACAATCTATCCAGATGCGTTTTGTGTAATCGAGTGGTTAAAACAGAATTATCGTCACCTTGTTGATAGGCAGCAAAAACACAAATGTCCGTATAGTATTAACGAAATTTCAATTGCAACAAGCTATTCAGAAGTTCATACTTTTCCTCGCATTATACTGTGAAACTGAATTCGTGATGAATTCATGTTTAATCCCAATGCTATTGTCGTATTATGTGTACAATTTTCATTCGAATCATCTTGAAAAGTTCTGTAGTCTTCATTATTTTCTTTCATCCATATCTCATCGACTTTCGTGTGCGTCTGTCAGCGGATTAATTGTTCAGTAACGGAAATTCTGACTTTGCTTCACTTCCAATCATCGAATGTCGATCAGACTGAATCATTGTTTTGTCTCGAAAAATTGCTATTTCATTCAATCTCTCTTGGTTCACAGGAAGTGAGACGATATCATGTCCAAATAGTCTGTCATGTGTATATTATTATATAATACTGTTTCGTTGATGTATCCTGAGTGGTAAAACATATCTCCGTGTTGTCCTGTTGTCCACAGTCATATTTCGCTGTTTCTACTATTTCAAATAAGCTCGCATCTCCACACATTCACACGATCTCCTCCATATTACTCTCTGATCCATGACCCATTCTTCACTTCTCATTTAGGTAACACTCAAGTGATAGCCTGGAGTGTTATTTCTTCGTTAATATCGTCAGTGTATGTCGTATGAATCTCTATTTGACTTGGTTTCATTCATACGCAATATGATCTCGACTGGTTCATTGCCAGGTGGCGAGTGCAGATGTCTACCAGAGTCTGCAGCAGCCTGCTACAAATGTTGGAAATGAAACTCTCGTTTCCACATCCTCGTCATTAGGCAACACTTATATTTGGAATGATGCGTCTTTGCTGGTTAATTGATTCAAATGATCACCTTTAAATGTGTTCACTTGACAGAGATCGGTTGTTGTTGTTGTTTATCTTATTGATGTTAGTCGGTTGTTCGATTATCGTCCTCACGTCCATCTTCTCCATGTTCACTGCAAATCATGTCTCTACTGTCTGCTTGTTCTGCCTTTATGTTAGTTTTCCCCAGTCAGCCGTACAAACTGCATTTCCGTAGAGATAAACCGTGCACGTTTTCGAGATATTCTGGAATGTTATTTTCCGTACAATATTTACGTGTCTTCTTGCTCCCCTGATAAAATGAAATCCATTCCTGTAATTTCATATTGTTGTCATAAACTCCATGCAAGTTAATTGATGAAGTACATTGTTAATCAGTGTGACACACTTCGTTGTTACTTCACTGAAATGAATGTCAGCGTTCTTCTGGATATATGTAATCAGTGAAGCGTCTCAGGTGAATAAATACAAAGTCTACAATATTCAGGGAATCAGAGATACAATTTGATTCTCAGAGTGCATATGGACAACCATTTTCGAAGAAGATGAGGGAGATGTATTCAAATGACGCCATCCGAGGAACAGTCGCTTCCCACACAATCTGTATTATTAAATCATCATGTTTAACTATAGCGAGGTAGGCAAACACTTGTCAGCGTTTCTGTTCTCTTAAGTGGATGGTTATCCGCCTTCACAAAACTGATATGGTCAATTCAAATCTAAGTATGCTCAAATGTCTTCTCCAGATGAAAATTTGCTGGAGGTTTTGACACATGCTGATAGTCCTATTGAACAAAAAGTTATTCGTTTTATCTTCAGGAAATGCGAACGCCTCTCGAAGAGTCAGATGACCGATCACATTTCGTCTTCAACCAAGATGGAATTGTGATCGTATTGGTTAGATGTGATATATTGTGGAACTGACGATTCTATTTTTCATTCTCGATGTTTGATATCATCCAACTGGTGAACTAGGTGAAGAGAGGTTTTTACTGTTAGGAGACATCACTTCATCATCCCCTATAGTGTTCAAAAGCCTAAAAGATGATGTCAACATCATCTGGAATCTGGAAGACCTTAATCACTGTCAATTTCCTCTGCTGTTCAACCCTGGGTGAATTTACGAATGCGAATACTGGACATCTACTCTCCAAAAGTGAGATCTGACGTCCGACACGAAATAAACCGCAGCATGGGATTCGAGAAACAAACCAACAAATAAGCAGTTTTATAACGAATATGTGGAGAATACAAATACGGACAAAAAACGGACTGTAGACCGCTTGTTATTTCAACTAATGGCTTAAAACTAAACACTCTTGTACAATGCACTAATTGAAGCCAAACAAGGCTACAGACCAAACTATGAATGATCAACCATTTGCGCAGAGCAATCATGCCGACGATTTCCGCATACGATCCAAATCGGTCACTTTCATTCCCATATATATCGCATGTTTTTCAATCGAATTTCATTTATTTACACGAATTTCTTTTCAGAGATTGAATCATGTTTGAAGTTGGATGTCGGAGTGACATGAATTAAAAAGCAGTCAAAACGCCCCTGGGAGTATTGAACACCCACGTCGTCATCTTAGTATTAGACTCACTGGCAATACTGTGTCGGCTCAGTACTTGGCAAGTATGGCCTTCCGGTTACAAGAAAGGCTTGATCGTTAACACTACAACCAGTTGGATCCGACTCAGCGGCATATTACGCATAATTTCTAGCTGCAACCGCACACAATGAATGCGTACTGCCAATACGATCGTATCAACAATGCGCATTTCAATCTTTTCGGGACTCCGTGGCTAGATATACAAGATTGCAGTGCTTTCCTCAGAGAGATTTCCAACGTATTACCCATCGTTTCAAACGTGAATTCATTATCCACTAGACCACATAGGCCACGACAACCACCACCTATAATGCAAAAAGCATCAAGCGATTCGTCAGATCTACGGCCTGCTACCATCCACCAAATTGTTTCTTGTAATATCCAGTTGATGTGAAATGATGGATATGCCCGTGTAAAATACATTTTCCAACCTAAATCATATATACGTGCAGATTTTGACAATAATCTCAGCAGTGAGCTAAAATTTGCATATCGTTTCCAAATATCATCTCTACTTTGCGTGTGGCCCCCTTTGAACCAAAATGTAACTGAATAATGGTTCATCGCACACACATGAACAAACAAATGCTGTCAATTTTTGATTGGTAGGTGGAAGTAACCAATGAGTGAATTGGTGTCATCTATTAGTGGTATAAATAGTCCTTCAAAATATGCTTTCAGTGTCACGTTATAAAGCGACTATTCAGCATACACTGCGGGTGAGTTCCAGTGGTATGTATATAATTATTTATGATATATTATGTAATTTGTAATAAACGCTTGATAACGATTCACACTGTCGTTTCCAAAAGACATTATATATATATATATATATATATATGTGAATGTCGCAGAGATTGTATCTAGACTTCACTCGTCCAAGCACTTATATCAGCCCGTTCTTAAGTTACAATTGATCATATCTAGTATTGGGCAGAGTAGAACCCATAGTAACTATACCTCAAGCAATCTGTACATTCACGTTGAATTATAGAATCCCATAGACGAAGTGACTTATCAAGTTCTCTGCGTAATATCTCTGTACTTCATTATTCTGTCTGTTTATTCTGAGTTCCTACTCAGTAAGTCTACTTAACATATTCTGTTGATATTGTATAAAATTCATGAGAGTTTGTTCAACATTCTGCTGGATTTGTCAATAAGTGCTATTCTATAAATATCAAACGAGTATTTCATCACTGAATATTTTTCTTCCTTAATTCATGGAAGGGATTTACGTGTTCTCTGGACAAAGCAGTTACGAAATACATAGGTTCAAAATGACCAGACCCTCGCATAATTGCATCTCTCATTTGGATGGAGGTTCATCAGTTGCGTTCATCAGGGCTTGACTCAGCTGGAATGGTCAAATAAGCTAGAAATTGAAATTCTGCTTGTTTCTGCCTTAGACGAGTGAGAACAGGTTCGCCACTGATGATTTAAGATTCAAATGAGAGTGACGTTCGTTGCGTGTGATGATCACATCAATCTTGCACGTCAGGCCATCGCTCGAGTTGTGCTTGGGTCTGACGATGCAATCAATGCCATCGTGCGGACTGGAGAAGATGAGAGATAACCTGCAGTCATCTGGCTATACCACAGCGGACACTAGAGAAGAGCAAATTGTGAGATGTACTTTCGAATCTGTTTGTCTCCCTCGGAATACAAAGCAACCGGAAAAGTCACTCACTGTCATCCATTTCAAGTAGCATCAAATCGAATGTCATGTTTTTTCCCACTGATTATTTTTTATTTTAGTGAAATGGTCTCCCAGAGGACAAAATTGAACCTTATCCTACTCATTGGTCTGTTCATTGTCAATAGTGAAGAGAGCGAATCACAAAAACAACCATTTGACTTCACAGTTGATGACTCAGGTAATTCAAATTTATTCTGTGTGTAAATGACTGAACCAATAATGTATTCACCGGTTATCCCGCTTCCCAATAAATCGCCTCTGTAAATAATGATACTCCTCACTAATGATTGACTGACTGATTGCAGGATAAGTTACCTGCGATTCTGGTGAGAATAGGTGACCACTATGCGAACATATACTCACCGATGATGAGATGCAGTGAGGCTAGCACTGGCGTTTCCCCAAATGATATCATTTTAAGATTAATATTCGATTTCCCAACGATGTTAGAATGTTTCTCTTTATTCAGCATGATGGTTAACACAATCAATAGTTACATGGGAAGCCACGTGTCACGTGATTAACAATCGAGAATCCAGAGAAGCTTGCCTTCTGTATGAAGACAGTAGTTAGATGAGGCTACCCGCCAGCTTTCACGAATGCCATTGCTCGTCGTGATGGCTAGGCAGCATCCTTTCAACTACAGGCAGCTGTGATTCATGAGGATGTCAGTAGCAGAATCGTGATTTCGTCTCTGATCGTTCTCACTATGAAATCAGTGTGGAGGTTGACAACGCATCACTTCAGCACAAATAACAGTGTTTGGATTTCGAACACCGGTGTTTAGACAGAGACGTCTTCTATATGAGTCAAGAAATTGGCGAACACATCACGACAAATACTTCGAACAACCAGCTGCAGCCGTTTCTCAACAGCTGCATTTTATGTCCATTTACTGAAAATATGATGGTGCTCTTGAAATGATTTGGAAGATGAAATTGTTGGAACAAGCCAACGAAGAACCAATTGTTAAACCATATGCAGAAGGAAATGGACACGCGCTGAGGTCAGCATACATGAAGTGGCAATATATGCATGTTTTGATTGGACACTAGTAACTAATGTGATGCGTCTAGTCCTCTCATTGGTGCAGACTGAATTTTATCAGTCAGGTTTTAATGCAGCCACCATTCTAGGTAGCTCGTCATCACGGTGCACATTGATTAGATGGTATTAGATGGTTAGAGGCAATAGCGGGAAGCCTTGGACCTAGGTTTCGTGCTAGTTGGTACTCGTCAGCAGGGCGTATCTGCAACCTTGAAGTAACTTATGTCATGCCCCCAGTCATCTAATACCATGTAATCAATATGTGCATGTGTCAGGGGTTGCCATGGCGAGGAGAACAACACCAAATGGAACAATACATAGTTGTTCTGTTAAAGGGCATATCTTCGACGTGGAACGCAAGAGAACAATACTAATCATAGCAGTGGTTGCGGTGAGCAAGTATTCAACGTGACAGTAACGAATTACTTTATTTCAATGTCTAGCATGCTGTATTGTGCAAGCTCGTATTTTTTTTTATTTTTCATTTACAGCTTGACTCCACACTGTATTTTCGGTACAAGTATGGAATTTTCAGCATGGATATCGGTAGCCCAAATTTTGCAGGCCGACCATAGATATCAGGTGTGCGCCGGCGTGGGCTCAAACCCCGGACCATGTGCATGGTCGACGAGAGTCCTAACCACTGTTCCACCGACGCACATCTTCTCAGGCAATGTCGGCGATAATATATTTTGCATCACGATCAACCAGCTGGTTGACTTTTTTAAATTCAGCAGTACACATTTGACGTTCAGATATATTTATATTTGTCAATTCACATATAATGGACAAACTAAACAACTTACTCTCAAACTTTCATCCATTACTTGTATTTGCCTCAATGTGTTGTCGAGCATATTGACCGACCATAAAACTATTAGTCAAATTTTTGAACTCAGGACAATCTAAGTCAGTCAATCGATAAAGACCTCACATATTTTTTAATTTGACTGCACGAAAGTTCCGAAATATTAAAAAGGCGAATTCACTGAATTCCTGCAAGTTCCTGCACACTGATTCTTCGAAATGACATATACTGCACGTGAAGCATGATAAAGTGAGACTCTTTTACTTCCTTAGTAATCTGTCGACCAGGATATTTTCAGTATGAACTAGAAAATGCTCTTCAACAGGACATTAAAATGATAGAAAGCAAAACTTATCAAAGACTATTTCATCCTCACAAGCTGTGCAAACGCATTAATTGATTGCGGAATACTAGGTGTGGACCAATCTCAAGTGACACCACGTATTGACACGAATCTGGAAAGCTGATGAAAACACGGAGACTCGCTATGAGTTTGTTTTGTCAGCCTAGTTTGAAAGTAATCAGCAGTTCTCTCTCACTACAGCGTTTCGAAATCAGGACGTTTTGGTTACCTAGCAAGCCAGCTCATAGAACATTCAGACAGTGTGGCCTGGCTCAATCCCCACTATGTGTGCTCGCTGATGACCGGCCGAAAACTACTATGAGACAGCGGGCTGTTCAATACTCCTTGCTTGTTTTCTTCTCTATTCTAACTGATATCGAACAATGGTCAAACTAAAATATTTGTTAGCATTGATGATTTATTAGATGTTGTCTCGGTCACTGACTAGACAGCTAGCATACCGTAGATGTCATCTAGCTGAATGTTCTTTGCTTGGATCCACTCCAAAACTGTTCATTGATCTATATTCAAGATACCTCCTCACTATTCAATCTGTCCTTAATACTGTACAGTTACAGATAAGAGATATATTTTCCAGTGATATCGTTTACTTTGCAAGATGTTTCAATATTCGCGGAATGGCCATGGACTAACAGACGTCTTTTGACACAAAATGGGCGATTATTGAGGATAGGAAACAATTCTGTATTTCTGCGCGATATGATTCTATGACTTTCGAATTCCCACCATCATTATTATTTCACTTGGTTCAAGAGGTAGGTCTACTTGTAGAGATTTCCAAGATTTCCAGTAAATCATTAAAATGTGTCTTCGTTTTTTTTTATTTTAAGGAGTAAAGACTATTCATTTTCCGCCGGTCACGTTTTCTTTGCATCCTAATGGAACACTGACAGTTAAAACTTTGGACTGTACATGGGCAGTTGACTTGGGAGGGCTATCAAGTCAAGAGGTTGGCGTAACTGGAGTAACTCGTCACGGTTCCTTGTGAGTCTTCTTTCATAAGTGACATAATTCGTAATGACAACATAAATATGCTCACATAATTCTCAAGAATGCGAGGTATGTTTACGAGAAGGCCTTCTATTCTATAGAAAACTGAGTCTTCTTTGAATCGTTGTTGACTTGAGTGTAGAGTGCAAGTGAACAAATAACGGTGTTATTAACAATACCAACAACCAGGTCAGGAGAGGGAGAATGAATTTAGATGTGTGTTTGTGTAATCAATTGATTCTGCAGACCTCAGTGTATTCGGTGGAGTACAAAATAATACTTTTCATCAACAGCGTCAAAATAAGTTGCTATTGGAAACTGATATGTTTCGAAACTTTCTTCATTCTCAATTTCTATCTTGGCTTTGCATCATCTTTGATATTCTCCCGAGGCTTATTTCACTCATTTCGCCGATGAACAAGCAACCTCTTTCTCAGTGCCTTTACACTGCATCCTACTCACAGGAATTGAATCTTATCTGAAGTTAGCAAATAGTCTCACTCGAAAATGTCCGCAACCAATTACATCTAAATGTCACCGAGTTTGCTGATTTCAGTGAGCAAGACTCGACCAGATTGATTGTTTTATTCTTGACAGCACTGTGGAAGTGAGAAAACTGAATACCTCTTGTATCCGCTACCGTCTATTTGAATCTCTGTTAGTCGTCTCACTTCTTGTCAATTTCTAGGGAAATATTTCGTCCGACTAATTTATCAATTCATGTATTCTGCTCATTCTTCTTCATTGTTCGACTAACTTATTCTTCCGTGGACATCGCTTAACTTTGGAGGGAACGTATTTCATCTGATATCGAACATCCGCTTTACCATACACAACTTTCTCCTTTGATATATGCGAGTGTGAAAGTGAAAAGATAAATTATGCTGGTGTGGGCATTAAACCTTATTAATTTTATCATTATTATTGTTTCCTGGAGAAAAATAAGGCTTCAGCCGCACGTCTCTATTTCGTTCGCTTCTCTGCTAAATTTTCCACCTGACACCACGTCTGCCCACATGCTCTCATTGCCTCTTCACATGACCTACGCCCTGCCACCCTCGCACTGACGACCGAATCACCAACCTTCTTTTGAGTTCCACTCAAGCAGTTGCTTGGTTTGTTATGTGACTTGTTGGTTTTCTAAGAGTGTAGCCAATCCACCTCCTTGACTTCCTGCATATTTGTTGCATAATCGGTTCCTGATTGGTTTGCTGCGAGAGATCGTGGTTGCTGATATCTTCTGACCATTCGATCTCGAGAATTGAGCGAATTCTGTTACTGATGAAGGTTTTGTATATTGTTTGAAGTGTTCCGAGTGACGAGTGAAGTCTCTGAGACTTCAAATTCGGATCTGATTTTTTCATGCTGAGTGCCGTTGACCTCCACACAAACGTCTGAGAATTGAAAGCTTGCCTTGCTTTCCTGATCCTCAATTGGATATCCTCATCAGTTCTGCTTGTACTTGAAGCGACACTTGACAGGTTGATAGGTGAATGAGGTTGGCTCTTTCTGATTTATCGCCTTTGTGCTGATTATTGTCTGTTGTTATTGCTGTTATCTTTGACCTGGAACGTCAACGCCTCTGTTTTCTCTATGCTCACCTGAATGCCTAAAATTTCTGGCCTGTCAAAATTTCGCATTTCACTCACATATCTTCACATATGTCGTAAATCAGACATATATCATCGAAGACGTCCGAATCCTCCCGGGTTTCGTGTTGGTACATTTAATGGCTGTTTCCTCACTGCCTGCTTTCTGTTACATTATCCAGTCTACTGCAATCAAGAAAATCATTGAAGATATTAGGCGACCAGCTTTTCTTTCTCCTGTCTTCACTTCTTTGAGGGATTCTGTGAGCTTCTTGTTATGGATTACTTGGCATGCAGCGTTGTCGCACAACTGTTGGATGATGTGTTCAATTTCTGACGGCACTTCATGGTAGTAATGAAGTTGTTTCTTAATCACCTCCTGATCGATGCTGTCAAATGCCTTTTTAATAATGATGAAGTTGAGATAGAGAGCTGACTGCCATATCAAGCTGTATTCACTGATGATGCGAAGTGTTGTGCTTTGATCAATGCATGATTACTTAATCCTAAAAACCTGAATGTTTCGGTCGACGTTTTTCATCCAGAACGAGTTTGATTTTCTGCAGAATGATGCCGCTTAGTATTTTGCTAGGGATGAACAGAAGCATACTGCTACGCCAGTTCTTGTATTGTCCTAAGTCTCCGTTTTCCGGTAGTTTGAATAAATATCCTTTCTTCTAAGTCACAGGTAACTTGCCTTATTTTCTAACGTATTATCGTATTGAGGTTATCAGGTCCGCTTATGTCTCTAGGTCCATTTAAAGGCTTTTGCTGGGATTCCGTTCGGCCCTGATGCTCTTCCACAGTTTTGCATTATTTTTGCTTTCCATATTTGTGTTCTCACCTGAGGCTGGATGTTCACCGATAGTTCTGCTTCCGCTGGTGATATTCTTGCGCGCATTGCAGGTGGCGGTCGATTAGGAAGCCATAAGAAGAATCCAGCTCAGTGTTTCCTTTCCTCCACCTCTCTGGTGATGTACGAGTATGCGAAAGATTTTATTCAGTAACTGAATCGCGAAATCCCCTTCAACTCGCTCCATGATTCATCATAGGTTTTCATCACCTCTTTCAACACTCACACTCATGCACCAATCGATGAAAACGTGGCACTCGATTTCACTCTGCCGTCTCCACTGCATGCATCCAATTCATCTTCTTTCCATTGTATAAATTCGCTTGGCGACATGTTCTTCTCTCTCTGATAGATATTCACTTCTGTGCACGATAAACACCACTACTATTGATGCCTAGTCTACAGCTAATTACACCAATGATTCTGATTGTAGAAATGTAACTCTATTGAATATATAATCCAATATTGAACATTAGATCTATCAAAATTGATTTTTATGTGTATTCCTGATTTCATTCTCATCTTTATTTTCCTCCGTCTTTCTACAGGGACTGTAAAAAGTGGCATATGCCTCCATACGAAAAGAAAATACCAGTAGACCTAATTCAGTTCATAGATTAAAAAAGTATGGGAAGTGCAACACACGATTGAATCTGCAAAGAAAATGGCAAAATAACACTCCTTACTCAATGCATCACTGAACAGTTGCTTCAACTGTGCTCATTCAAATGTTTGTAAGAACGTACATGCTTCATTTTCTGAGTGCTCAGTATTCTTCTTTCTCCTTCTGTAGATTAGATCTTTTCGAATAAATGCATATTCAAAAACTCCTTTCGTCTTAAAAACCCATGATATTTGTGCTTCTAAGTGGAGCTAGTCACTGAATGATGGATTTCAGCGCTGAATGAGTAATTCATGGCAAAATAATACTCTTGACTCATTGCATAACTGAGAAATGGCTTCAACTGTGCTTACATGTTGATGAAACTGGATACGATTTTAGTGTGAAATTACTGAGCTCCTTGAAATTTATTCAGTTAATACAGATCGGTCGTCAGTGTAATTGTTCCTGGTCGGTTTTGTGGTTATCTCCTCAGATTGCATCTCGTCCTCGTTTAATTAAAGTCGCGTCTCCACTGTCAGTTTCCAAAAATCCATCCCCCGTCTGTAAGTCGATGCTTCTTTCTGGGTCTGAATCTGGGCCAGTGAGTAACGAAAAGCATTTCAATCAATCCACTTCACAATTTCATCAACAATTGAAACCCAACGGAACAATGATAATAGTAACCAGAAAAGGCATCATTTTCAGAGGATGAGACTTGAATATTCGACACGCAGTTAGTGAAAACGCAAGGTACAGCTCATATGGATGAAAAGGGTGAGACCGGAAGTTCATTCCTTATATATTTCGTAGGCTGACGTTCTTGACTGAATGAAGAAAACCGACAAATTGTACGTCAATAGCTTTTGCTTCACTAGTCAATATGCCTCCACCAGCCACTTGGATGTCTGAGTGATATGAATAATATGCAATATCAAGTATCGAATGGAGTTAAACATCTTGCTACCCATGTCCATAAACACTCGGAGAGTGTCTTGCACGGCAGACGGAAATCTACACGGGTTATCTAGCGATGAATGAATACCACTGGAGATGCATGCCACTTTTGTCACTCGAAAGGGAATAGATGATTTCATTACGAAGTTAAATAAAAATCTAAAGACGACAACTAAGGAAACAGATTTCAACTGTTGCCCACAAAATATATGTGTGCAGTTATTCCATTGGGTCACTACTACGAACTCAGTTGCGAATCTCACCACTTAAGGACCGAATTTTAGAGATTTCACGTCATCAGTTGATCAGGCTATCGCAGACTGTGAACTGAAGAATCTAATTCAGCAGACAGCTGATCTATATGCTGTCTCATATCTCCATTGGATAGGCACGAACTTCCCAACTCGTAATCATTTTTGTCTAGACAACATCTTAATTAGTGGAATCAGCCAATGAAGAGGGAATATTCAGTGATGGCTCACTTGACTAACATTTCTAGCGAAGCACTTCTTAACAAATTCATCAGTCTTTATTGAACGTGCAATATCAACATTCCCCGCCTAGCAGACTAACAGTGAATAAACAGGACTACGAAATAACAAAGATAATAACCAGAGAATGCATTAACTGACTTCATCTATGCGATCTTACAATTTCACACGAATGCATAAATGGGCTAATATGTGCTAACTTGTGGTTCTTATCTGCCCGACACTAGGCATGTGGCTTACAAACAGGCTGGTCTCGATTCTAGGGCCAGTCAAGGACAATTTCAAGACACAATCTCTGAAACATACGCACAAATATGGTGTGAATCGGAAACGAGAATGTGAATCCATCTGAAACGTTAATTCCATATTACATACTATATCATGTGAATATTTATACCACCGCAACTTATACACCATGTATGCTGAAAAGCCACTAACTCACTTGAGACTGAAAAATATTTTGCAAGACTATTTATACCACTAACACATGACACTATTTCTTTCATTGGTTACTTCCACTAACCAATCAGAATTTGACTGAATCTGTTTGATTATGTTTGTTTAATGAACAACAATTCAGTTGTGATTGAATTTTAACGGATTGGAGAAAATTGAAGATATTCAGAAACATACGTTATAAAATGTATTTCATACTGGCATATCGATTAATTCACATCAACTAAATATTGCAAGAAGACGTTTCGTGGATGGTAACTAACCAAAGAATTGACCATGTGCTTGATGGACTTTCCTTAACAGTTGGTAGCTGTCGTGGCCTAGTTTCTCTATTGGCTAACGCATTCAGACTTCATACTGTTGGGTTCAATGAAGCTTGTAGATACACTTGATTTGATGACTGACATGAGAAACTTGGTGATGGGATGCCTTTCAAATGTCTTCAGTTAGCTCAAATCACAAAAAAATTTCTCTCTTAAACTGGACATGTTTAAACAGAAACAACATGGATCATAGTCAGTGTAACGTGAATTTTACCCCCCATCGGAGTATTCATCATTTCAGCAATAACTTCTCTGGATCACTGGTATATAAAAATACTACATGAATAGGACACCGATTTAGTGTTCACAGCAGTTTTCAAATTAGGAAGAAGTGAGTCTTGACAAGCGATTGCTCCGTAGAATTCTTTTTTTCCCCAACACAGCTGGTAAGTAATAGTTGTAATGATGATAAAAAAGAGCGAAGTAGGCTATTCGGACTGGAGGATTTCTGGGAATTGAGATTTGAAGTCCTACAGATTCACGACAATTGAGATGAATACTGAAACATTCTTCACGACGGTACAGAAAATAGTTAACTTGTGCAAACTGGGATAGAGGGTGGCGGTAACCAATACAAAGATTCATTCAAAAACTAAAAACGCTACCTCGATTTGCATGTCTGTCATTGAGCGAATCAAATGATCTTGCTTAATAGTCTCACTGAGATAATCAGAATAAGAAAATGTGATTAAAAGTCGGTCCTTTTTTTCATCTGAATTGTCGGAAAGAACCACGTCTGTAGGGATTTCACCTGTGTATTGCTGAATGCTAACTAAAATCAAAGTACATTCACACGACTGTCTGCTTTTTCGATGTAATTTGTTTCATATGTAAATGTGATCCTTATTCCACTGATATACAGAGTATTTCTCAAGCATGAGTATGCTTGTGAGCAGCGCTACTTCATGAAGTGCAGCAATCACGCTGACCAGATAAATGAAGAGTCCCAAACTAGGATGAAACAGCTGTCAAGTACTCCCAGGCTTTCCAACGGATTCCTAACTGATGTCAGCTCATGGTGAAGTTCCCCATGCAATCAAACAAAATCCCTACAAAATCAATACTTGAAAATTAATCCGATGCTCATTAGTGACTGGCCCTATTCAAGCTGTTAACCTGGGGTTCCACTGGGAAACCATTACCAGCAGGGTACAGCAGGTTGAAGATGAGGCAATAACTCATCGAAGAAGACATTGTGAAGTGGTCGCGCTTTGTTGTGAATTCGCAGAAGTTGGGAATCAAAGACCATTGGATCGGGTCCCAATGGCTCAATGGTCTACGAGCTCGCCTTGTAACCAGAAGGTTCTTCGGTCAAACCCTGGCGGGTGCGTACCGCTGAAGAATCCCAAATTAGGATGAAACAGCTGTCTAGTAATCCCAGGTTTTCCAGTGGTTCTCTAACGAATGTCAGCTCATGGTGAAATCCCCTATGCAATCGAACAAAATCCCTACAAAACCAATACTTGTAAATGATAATTGTTGAGAGAATAGAATTTTGTGTAGTGAATATCTATATACATTCATTTTGTATTTTCAGAGGATTTATTGAGAATGAAGTCATTCTTAAAAAATCGAAAACCTACATGGATGAAGTTTAATAGATGCAATGAAATAATCAGTCATTTTTTCTGATTTGAACGCTGGCTTTGGGTTTCAAGTCGTTCGCTAAAAATTGGAGTGGTTGCTCAAAGCTACCCTCAGTCGTTTTCACTTTCGATGTTAAAACTCAATAGATTCTGTTGTTCATTTTCATTCTGAGTTGAAAATTTGAATTCGACAACAAGTCTATATTTTCTTAGCTTTTTAGTGGTTCCTTTTCATCTCACCCCACATTTGAAAGTATTTGCGTTGCAAGGACACACGACTTTCACCCGAAAATGTGTGTTCACTCCCCACCAACATTGATGACACTGTGAGTTTCAAATGGAGAGTTTGTAGCATTGATATACGTCAGAGAATCTCTTGGGAAATAAAACGAATATACATATAAAGCATGACCTGCTGGTAGCACCACTGCCAGCTCAATGCTTGTCATTCAACTAAAGAAGAGACCAAAACCATACTCAGTCAGCTGGTAGGAATCCATGGAATTCAATTTCTCAGACAGCAGGACACTGGACAGTCGCAAGGCAAAATTTTGTTTTTCGATTATCATGTGAATTGAAATGCCTCAGAGTACAATAGTTTTGTATTATTTCGTTTGGTAAATTAAGTTTAATATAATTGTTCGAATAGTCATGGATGAGTAGACTTCACAACGCTGTCATCTATTTTCGATTCTGATGGTTCCAGGTATGGGGACAGAATTTCAATATGTGCAGTAAAGTGGGTGACTGCACTAGGCAGTAACTAACTATCGTACAGATAACAGACCCTAATTGTTTCCAAGGAAACAAACTAACTTCTGAAACGCTCTCACAATCTGACAGAGTATCTAGGATTTTGAGTTTCTATAGTGTGTATTGAGGATTTGACATTGTCAATCTGAACGAAGGACATTATTTGCAATAATTTCCCTTGAGGTCCTTAAAATTAAAACATATAATAATAATTTTGGTCGTTACAATGAAGGTCAGTTATGCGGCGGATACATTTTTAACGTAGAATAACAGATTAGTTATGGGGTGTCAAAATAATCATATTTGTATGACAAACCTGCCCTTTATGCAAACACTCCCTCAATACTATCGAATTTTTCATTTATACGGACTTATTATTTGTGATATTATCTGTTTTTTCAATACATGCCTCCACCTTTTTCATTTAACATATTCGTTATCTCACTATGAACCT